TGTCTCNNTTNNNCCTCTAATTTNCCGAGAAAAGTATAACCCAAAACCACCCCGCTTTTTATTTTAAGGCCCAGAAAAAGAACCGAGAGAGGCCATTCCACGGTGTGGTTCATTTTCTAAAACAGGATTAAGGGAAACCCGAGTTTGTGCAGTGGAATTTAGGGAAATGAACTTATTCCGAAGTAAGCCTTGAGGCAAAGCGAGGGTAAAAAGATCGATTGAAAGGATTGTAAACGCACCCTGCTAATAAACTCCTTGTCCCCTCCCCTCACTAACCTTTAGATTGGGCAANTTAAAGTATCGTATCCCAGTTCTCGATTGTATANTAACTACCCCACTTCACACTTTTTTTCCATTTTTACATCTACGTGGACGTGTGGGTGTGTTGTGTNNGGTGTAAATGTCTCTCTCTTCTCTTCTCAATTTTATAATAGGAATATTAGTATATCACTATCCTTTATATTNCAATGAAAAGAGAGGTAAAGAAAGTAAACTTTTTTTTTCCTCTACCTTTTTAACAAATAATAGTTGATCTATCTATCTTTCTCTATATATATATATACTTATATCTATATCGAAATAACAACGTCAACTGCTTATCCTTTGCTAGAAACCAACTAAGCTTCTTACACTTCTTACACTTCTTACTTCATAACTTTATATGATTGCCCTTTAAGATTTATATAGATTCTCGTTCTCTTGAGACATACATACATAGATGACATCTTCAAATGATGCTATAATAGTTTACGCGTCGCATACGCGTAAACTTCCTATAATCTTTGCATGACAGTACATCCATTTTAATTGAAAATATTCTGGTGTTTTTCCCATCAATTAAATTAAATCTGAGACACGAAATTTTCCATGAGTATTTAAACTCTAATGGTTCATCATTCTTATTCATCCTTTCCTTTCCAGATTCTTATTACTTTACGTGTTTTACAGATTTATATCATATTTTAAAACTAACCTACATTTGGATTACTAGCCAACTTTCTCCTCTAAGCCAGACATTTTAAAGATATACAGAGAATAACTGCTAATTATATTTAATAATAAGTTACATTAACAAACATGTTGGAAGCTAAGTTTGAAGAAGCATCTTTTTTCAAAAGAATTATTGACGGTTTCAAAGACTGTGTTCAATTGGTTAATTTCCAATGTAAAGATGATGGTATCATTGCACAAGCTGTTGATGATTCTCGTGTCCTGTTAGTTTCTCTAGAGATTGGTTCTGAATCTTTCCAAACTTATAGATGTGATCACCCAATCACTTTAGGTATTGATTTGAACTCTTTGAGTAAAATCTTACGTTGTGGTAACAACACCGATACTTTGACTTTAATCGCAGATGATACTCCAGATTCCGTTTTATTATTATTCGAAGACACCAAGAGAGAAAGAATCGCTGAATATTCTTTGAAATTAATGGATATTGATGCTGATTTCTTGAAGATTGAAGAATTAGCTTATGAATCAACCCTAATGATGCCTTCTGCCGAATTCGCTAAGAATGTTCGTGATTTAAGTCAACTAAGTGATTCCCTAACTTTTACCATCACAAAGGAGACAATTAAATTCCAAGCTGATGGTGATATTGGTTCCGGTTCTGTTATACTAAAACCTTACGTAAATATGGATGATCCAGATCAAAGTATTAAGTTAGAAATGGAACAACCTGTCGATCTAACTTTTGGTTCAAAATATTTATTAGATATCGTAAAAGGTTCTGCGTTATCAAACAAAGTCGGCATTAGATTATCAAGTGAAGCTCCTGCTTTATTCCAATTTGACTTGTCAAGTGGTTTCCTACAATTCTTCTTGGCTCCAAAATTCAACGATGAAGAATAATAGTTTTCCATATGAAATAATCATCATACAAACAAAAATCATAAAAATTAAACAATAAAAATGACATCTATAATAATTCACTGTATAATAATATAATTAAATATTTTAAATGATAAAAAATATGTTAACTATCAATGCATTAAGTTTTACAAATATAATATATTCAAAGTTTTGGTTACCAAGTCTCTTGCAAGTACCTGTGATCTGCTTCCATTTTTTTCAAGTATGCTTCAGCTTCTTTATCGTCAGCAAAGCTACCCCATTTCTTAAGCATTTCAACAATTGTTAGTCTAACTTGAATTGGCATTTTACCTGAAGAGCCACATAAATATATGTTGGCATTTTCATTGATAATTATTTCTGTCAACTCTTGCCCTTTCTTCCATAAAACGTCTTGAACATATTTCACATCAGGGGAATTCACTCTATCTCTAGAGAATGCAGTGTATAAGTTAATCTTTCCCGATTTTTCCCATTCCTCCAAGGTTTCTTGATAAAGATAATCGCTATCTTTGAAACGATTACCAAAGAATAAATGAATATTCCCAGAAATATTTGATTTGATCAATGACATCATTGGAGCTATACCAACACCCGGGCTAATTAAAATAAATGGAGATTTGCAGTTCACTTTATCTAATAGATTGTTTCTATGGATTTTGTAGCGTAATTCATCACCTATTTTCAAATTAGCGACAAAATTTGTACATACACCCTTTCTAATCTTTCGAAGAATTGTTTTATATTTAACAATTGCGATTGTCAAATCAATGCTTGGATCAGAATCACCACTGGAAATAGAAAAAAGTCTCGGTTTGATTATTGGCATATAATCTAAAATATATTTCCAGGGTAAATTTAATGACAAGAAATCTTCTACAACTTCCAAAATAGATCTTCTAGGCCTATTACAATAATCAAATAGATCTTGCATATCCTCATCGACAGCAAACTGGTGTAATTTTTCTCTTTGCTGATCTAGTTGGTCCTGTCCTTTCTCTAATCTACTTTTATCCACAGCAAATGGCCATACTTTCATAAAAAAACTTACTCTTGGTACACTCATAATATCACATTGGTAATTCAATAGGTTACGGAGAGTTAAAGGTACGATAACACCTCCTTCTAATAAATTATTTTGAACACCATTTGAAAACTTTAATGGTTTATCGGCAACCTTTAGCCACTCCGGCTGAACCTTTAATATTTTCTCAACATCCTCATCTGTATTACAGGGATATAGTGCAATTGTATCACCAGGATTATAATTTTCATTGTCTTTCATTTTAATCGTAAATTGTCTAACATCTTGGAAATGTTCATTATTAGTAATCCTTAAATTTTTGGAAACTTCTCCATACTTAACTGAAGAATCACCCTTAAACTTTACTGGTTTGGTAGAAGATGTTTCCATGTCCAATTCATCATCTAGCATTAAATAACTGCTTGGTTCCATATATATTTCATCGTCAATGGCAATTCTCTTTATTCGTTCACCATTAACTAATCTGGTAGGGAATTTTTCAGACAACAATTTAAGAATTCTTCTTTCAAACTCGAAATATACACTTTCGACACCTGAACCTGTTCCTTTATTACTTCCTGCCATAGATATTTCATCTGCTTCTAATCTATCGAAAAGCTCGATGGCTCCCAATTGGTTTACAAACCTTTCGTGTAGTTTCCTTACAGCATAATTAAAATGTGGGTACGACGAGTCACCCAAACCCAAAAATGAAACCTTTAAATGATTCAAAAGATCATGTGGCAAAGATTTTTGTTTCAAAAATGACCATAATGATTGCTGTTCAGTTGCAGATGAGGATTTGCGGGCATTCACTGGAAGTTCACCTTGTCCTGAAGTTGAACAAATTATGAACATATAACGACATTCAAGCACATCGGATGGTATAAAATCGCCTAAAGGACAAATAGTATGTTTAAAATGTAGTCTATTCAACTTTTGAGATAATATATATGCGTAATCACAAGCATTTCCAGTCTCAGAACCATATAAAATAACAATTTTTTTCGATGACATTCTCAATAGTAAAATTTGGGTGCAATAAGTGAAATGAATTTAAAAGTTCTTACAATCAAATCAACCTGAATTTTTTACCTGAATATCAAATATCAGAATATATATTCCCCAATCACACCTGAAGCAGCACTTAACTGATGATCACAAACTCCTAAACAAAATATAATAATCATTATTTAAATGTATCCTATTAGTAATATTCATCTTTAAATCTATTAACCTTTTTATACTGAATATCTAATTTAACCTATTTACATGGCGGCATATTCGTCCGTGGTGATTATGATTGGTAATGATCAGCTCGTACATGAAGACAATTATTGTTAGTATGATGAAGAGTGTCATTCACAAGAACTTCTTTCTTAATGACATCAATTCCTTCAACAAAGTGGCCATCATTTCGTTCATAACGGTTTCATAAACCTTTATCTGGTATTAGTGACCTTATCTTAGTTCAACATTATATTTATTGACGAGCTCATCACGAACTTTTTCTTGAATTTCATTAATTTCTTCATTAGTGACATTTCTGTCCATTGATTGATAATTGATTCTATAACATAGGGATTTTTTGCCAGATTTTGAACTGGTAAATTCATCAATTAATTTGACAGATTCCACTAAATCTCCCCCTTCGTTTCTTACAATCTCCATAACATCGTTTTCATGAACTTCAATTGCATTATCGTCGTTTGCTAACCAAAATGATACATCTCTTAAAGTACCAGGATATTTGGAATATGGAACAAATGGGTTTATTTTACCTTTTATAAATTGGGTATGGAATCTTTCATCCATTGTCCAGAATAATCTAATATCTGGAACTTCAAATAGTAACATAGCGATTCTATCTAAGCCTAATCCAAAAGCCCAACCAATTGTAGAATCCTTTTCAAAGCCAGAATTTAATAATACTTGTTCACGAACAAGACCACATCCACATACTTCTAACCAATCACCTTGCCACCACACTTCTATTTCCCAAGAAGGAGCTGTCCATGGGAAATAAGCTTTAATCCAACGGACTTTTAATTCTTTAGGTATATCAGCCACATTTGAGTTTTTCATACTAGTTATCTTTTGATTAAAGACCTCGGAAACTACCAATTCCACAGATCTTTTCAAATGCTGTTGGCACAGTTCCACTTCTAGCTCAGTCATATAATCTTGTTTTGGATTACCCTCTAAAGATTTATCATCCTCAACAATTAGTTTAGTCTCCTCTTTTTCTAACTGATCCCCTAATTTTTTGATGTCTTTTCTCAATTGCACAATATGCTGAGGTTCTTTATTTGAATTTAAAGCTTTTTCTCTTTTCCAAATTCTAGCACCTTCCATTTGATGGAAAGCAGGATAATGAGTTCTATCAATTTCATCTCTTCTATATACATCTGCTGATATTAGAAACCCTGATCTCCCACTATTTGAACTCGATTGATCAGATTTAATATCTTTAAAACATTTCATTTCATGAGCAGATGTATGAGTACGCAATAAATGTTTATCATTAACATAATACGTATCGGATTTTGATCTACCAGGATGGTCTTCTGGGAATCCTAATGAATCAAAATTGTCATAAACAGATACTACAGGTTTGAAATTATTATAAATGTTAAACGCCTTATCAGTAGAATTTAGTTTTTGCTCAATCATTTCTCTTAGGATGCTCACAGGATGTGATTCATGGACGTGTAATGAACGATCAGTTAAAGACACAATTGATGGAGTAACATTAGTCCAGTGTTCATTTGTTTCATAATCTACCTCATTGATATTAATTGATTTAGGAATAGCATTTGAAGAGAATAGACGCAGTTTCCCAGTACATTTTAGAAGAATCCTTGAACGAGTTATCATTAGGGCCATTGCAACACTCGAAAGGGAATCCAAAGGAAAAATAATTTAACTTTTGTTATCAATATAGTCTAGATAGTTGGGGGTTAAGGAAGTCCTTCCCTATATTGAAACTATGTTCTTATAATTATTTTGATCTAATCGATCCACTTTAAAATCATTCGATTCAATTGGTTTCTAGCACGATATCTCTGCGAGATATATAATTCACGTGATACACATGATAATTGTCACGTGTGTCAAAAATATTAATAAATTACATTTAAACTATAGAGTCCCTAAGAACTATGTATTTAATTCAATTTTTGGGTTCCTTCCATCTTTAATTTTTCTATTCTTTCCAGATCAGAATCCAGATCATAAGATAGAAGTATTTATTTACAATTAAATCTCTCTATTTTTTCCTTAAAGAAGATATTGTATACATCTTGAGGGCATAACAATAAATAATCATAAAGATTAAAAATATAACTTCAGCATTTATGATTTTAATTAATTAAAGGGTTTATAAAAATAAAAGTGTCTTTTGAAAAATCACTTCACTTCTAATTGTAAAAACATGCATAATCTTGATATCTTAATGACAAAGAAATTGTTTTGATAAAAATTCAAACTAAACCATATTGTATTTAGCGAGGTCAAGAGAATTTATTTTATTGTTAAGGATACAACTTCTTTATTTAGTTTACTTAAATGTATATAATGTATTGATTGTATATAGAAATAAAATGGTTGTCACATATAGACATTGCTGACGCATTGAATCACATGACCATGTGCGTTAAGTTATCGTATGTATCTCTTTATTGGCTAGGAGCACTCTATAATGCAAGAAAATCTGGTACCTGTAGCATTAATTTTGTACAATTAAAAACCACGTTTTCACTGCTATACGTGTCTTACCCAAACTAAAGACCAAAATAGAAACATCATTGGCCTTATATAATCTATTATCATCCTTTAACTAACCAACAAGAAAGTCAGTTAACTAGTCCTACATACAAAAGGAACTTATTCACGTGATAATCACGTTTTGCACAACTCTTATTGGGAAACATGAAATTTGACGAGAAATAAAAAAAAAAGACAAGAAAAAAGAATTTTGAATAAAAAGTATAAAGCAGAACCTTACCTTACAATAGAGTTAAGAGATCTTCCTTTAAGATATTCAGCTATTAATTGGATCGAAAGGTCAGAGAAGGAGTTCCATCTATATCATATAAAGGGTGTTTGAACGGTATCTTATACTATAGTGGTGAAATTCCAATCAAATATTAACAATGTTCAGCGGACTGTTAAAGAAGCCAACAAATTATTTTGGTTTGAACAATTCCAATTCAATAATTCATGGGTTACAAAACTCTATGTTTAGACGTTTTACACATGAATATGCCCCAAGATTTAAGATTGTTCAAAAAAAACATAAAGGTCGTGTGCCCGTCCGTATTGGTGGCTCTGTTAAAGGTTCAACTCTACAATTTGGTACCTATGGTATTAGATTAAAGACTGAAGGTGTAAGGTTAACTGCTTTACAATTGAAAGAAGCTGATAATGCATTGATGAGATATGTCAGACCTTTGAATAATGGTCAACTTTGGAGAAGAATGTGTGCAAATATTGCCGTTTGTATTAAAGGTAATGAAACAAGAATGGGTAAAGGTAAAGGTGCTTTTGATCATTGGATGGCCCGTGTACCAACTGGTAAAATTATTTTTGAAATGAGTGGTGATAATTTGCATGAAAAGGTTGCTAGAGAAGCCTTTAGAAAAGCTGGGGATAAATTACCAGGTGTCTACGAGTTCGTTACCAGGGATTCTGATATTAGAGTTGGTTTACATTCCACAGTAGATAAAGAAACTGCATTGAAAAAAATTGATTATTTTGAAAAACTAAAGAAGAAACCTTCAAAAGAATACGTATCTGAATTAAAGTCAAAGGAGTCTCTTTATAAATTATACAGAGGTCGTTAAATTTTTAACAAAAAAATCAAAAAGGCCACATCGACAATTATACGTAACATACATATATCACATGTAAATAATATTGATATAAATCATATTCTCTATTAAAATAAATACTTTTTAAACGTTTAGTTTCTTCTACAGAATAAGTGAATTATATAATTTAATCGTTTAATTTATATATTAATGCTGTCATTTAGTAATTTTAAAAAAGTGCTATTTATTGTCTAATGCACACATGACTTTTGCGATAAAACCTTCTAAATGGAAAATAGCTTTATTACCTAATGCCAATCTTTCATCAAATGTACTAGAACAATCAATTATCTTTGTTTTAATTGAATCAGAATTTTCTGGATTTTTTAACAATGAAAATGTCAATTCCTCTAAAATTATCTTTGGAGGTATACAATGTGCCAATAAATCGTATAGGATAGCACGGCATTCTATCAAGGAACTAACAGATCTCTCTCTTTGAATCTTATTCGTCAATTTCAAAATTACAACCAACCAATCTGGTCTTATAATGGCAGTGGATGATTTCAATTGAAGTTCGTTTGTTAATGCCATTGATTCCAGCATTAGTAATCCCAATCTTAAGTTACCATCTGATTCAATCGCTATCTTATTTAATATATCATTTGATTCGATTTGAAGGTTTTCCTTCTTTGACACTTCCATTAAATTTTGAACCACTTCATCATCAGTTGGTGCTGAACAACGAATCATTAAGCAACGAGATTTAATTGGAGGGATTATAGAAGACATCGAATCGCAAACCATTATTAGACGGATGTTTTTAGAATATTTCTCCATGGTACGTCTTAAAGCAGCTTGTGCATCTCTAGTTAAAGAATCTGCTTCATTTATAACTACACATTTATATCTATGCGCCAAACCGTCTTTTGATTCTTGGAAATCAACTTGTTCCATTTGAGCTACCTCCTTTAATAACTCCTGAATAACAATTCTATCATTATTACCCATATCACTTGGAGTAATTTCCAAATGATAAGGAGAACTCACAACATTTAATTCTAATTTACGATTCGAACTTGTAACAAATTGTCTAACATCGATTTTCAATCTATAAACACCTGAACCAAAAATAGATTCCAATAAAGCCATGCATCTAGTCTTCTTACCACTACCATTTGGACCATATAACAACAAGTGTGGAAGGTCCTTTGGTTGATGAGATAAAGATTTTAACAATTCTGTTAAGGAACCATTATGCGTTAAACTATCTAAGGTTCTTGGACGGTATTTATCAACCCACAATGACATTCTTGCCTCTCTATAATTTTTGGAGTTCCTTTAATTCACCACTAATTCAATTTGAACTTGTGATTGTATCAACCTTTATTCCAATTAAACCTTCATTCATCTTATATTTGAAGTTATCACTTGATATCGTGTTTAATTTCAGATGGTTTAAAATTGAATAGGCTTTATAAAATTTAACGCGTGCCCAAGCTTTTCACAGTAGGAAATGAATAAATGATTCAAGTGAGATGAGATTAAGATACTGTTCTATTCTATGTATATACTTAAGTATTTATATGATCATTATTTATTTGGGAGTTGATGAATACATCAATGTTTTGCAGGTCTTACACCAAAGATGTCAGTTCCTACTCTTACTTCTGAGGTACCTTGTTTAATAGCTTGTTTAAAATCTGCAGACATACCCATTGATAATTTTAGATTTGTATTATATTTTGAATCAATCTTTGACTTCCAATTGACTAAATTTTCGAAATCTAAGTTAATATAATCTGGATCGTTGTTGTGTGAAGTTTCCCAGGAACCAATTGTCATTAAACCTATTAAATTAATATTTTTAGTATTTGAATTAAAGAAGAACTCTATGATCTCAAAAATTTCAGATTCATCAGACAGACCAGATTTTTGTTCTTCATTAGACGTATTAATTTGAATGAAACAATTTATCGGTGGGGAATCAGGATTATATTTTGAACGAGCTTCATTTAGTTTATTTGCCTTTTTCAATGAATCCACAGTTTCTACAGCGTATAAATTTGGGATTTTTGCCAAATCTTTACATTTATTAGATTGAAGGCCACCGATGAAATGCCAGTTAATATCTTTTGGCAAGGCAATTGATTTTTCAATTAGTTCTTGAACATAATTTTCCCCAAAATGTCTTATACCATGATCGTATAATAATTGTACATCGGACGCAGGCTTTAATTTTGATACAGCCAATAGCATAACTTGATCCTTATTATTAATACCATATTTAGCCTCTGCATCTCTTATTTGAGCGAGAATTGATTCATAATTTGTAACTAATTCATCCTTTCTAGTCATTGTTGAAATTCTATTAATTTGGGTAGTGCGGTAGGTAGGGAGAAATCGAATTAAACGTTGTCCTCCACGAATCATACAAGCTGTGACTTGTGATTGTTCAATATATTAATTAATTAATTAATTAATTAATTAATCGATGCAGTGAGTATAGGTGTGAAATTTTGGTAATAGTAATAACATTTCTTTAAAATAGCTTTGAGAGATCATTGATTGTATGTTAGGTGCGGTGCATTATGATTAAATCAAGCATATAAGAAAAAGAGAATACGTCCAAAGTGATAAACCATCACATGATCACGGAATGCCACTAAAGACAAAAAAAAGTATGTACATACATCTACTTTAATATAAATTGTTGCTACTGTCCATTATTCATTATTCTTACTCATGATACCCTATAAGGGTATCATGAATGGTATTCCAAACCGATGTAATGTGGCGCAACCAAATACTAGACATAACATTTTTTTTCGGTGCTACTCTCTTTTAAGCATAATGGGGGGAGTAGTGTTTTTTCCCTTAAGTGTAAACTCTCTCCTCATTCATTGTGTGGCCATCGCTTAGCCCGGGTAATTTACGGTGGAGACAATAGTCCATATGATCGTGGAAAACTATTCGTATATTATGATACATATGCAAGAAGATTACCGTACTGGTACTGAGAAGACATCAGCAGCGTGATGATGGTGAGCTGTTCACAGGCATAGATAAACAGACGTAGCAGGCAGGAAACACAAAAGGGGAGCAGAATTTATCATACTATACATCATCGACATCCAGTTTACATATTGAATAATGAATAATGAATAACGAATAATGAGTACAGACAAAACGTAATAAAAATATATATCCTTAACCAGTCAAACTCACCAGCCATCTTAGCTGCTGGCTACTGTCACCCCTGTTCTTGACCCTCTCTCCCTCTGGCATCACCCTCTCCTAAACCACAACTCCCCAAAGCAGGGTAACAATCAACCCACCGACGAGCTGCCGTTCCCGCCCTTCCTGTTCACTACACCCCTTGTTCCCCGTTTTTCCCTCCCCCCCCCCGATCCCATTCCGTCCACAATGACACAATGCACTATGACGAACTGAACCAAAAAATCCAAAAAACTCAAATTTTTAGGACAAAAGAAAAAAAAGAAGAATGCTGGAAAATGCCAACTTTTTAATTTTTTATTTTTTTTATTTTTTATTTTTTTGGGATTTCGACAATATCCAAACTCACTTCACTTCAATTCGGCTTACACGCATAGTTTTATACCAACAATCACATACACTCTTACTTTCTCACTCCCATTCTCACTCTCTCTCTCTCTATTAAGACGAAAATTTCGAAAAAATGTACTGTAATTGATACAATTTCGAAACAGGCTTGTCCTTTTTATATAACGCAATCGATTGATTGTTTCTTGTATATTTTAAACATCTGTGTATATTTGCTACCACGTCGACAATTCCATTACTATCCACTTCTTCTTCTTTTTGGGTTGTTTTATCTGCAATACCTGACTTATATATAATATAAATATATACATATAAGAGCTCAACTTCGTTTTGGTTTGCAGGGCTTGCTGAAATACAATTGAAAAACTAACACTGAAAGGATATAGCGCAATAAGCTGGTGCAAGAACAGGTGCACAAACACATTATAACAAGACTTTTCCAGGTTCGATTGGTTTTTGTTTAGTTTAGTTTAGTTTAGTTTAGGTTTTTTTTTCCACTTTACACTTCACACTTTTATTTTGATCAATTACTTCCTCAAAATAAGAGATATATCAGCTATCAATTGTAATTTTACTATTATCTCGGTTACATTTTTTTTTGTTATTAAAATTTTACCCTCAATTTTTCATTTTAGTTCTTAATTATAATAACCGTGGATTATAAACTTTTTTTTAATAGTTACCACTCGTCGTTTCACAATCTCATTATAGTTTTAGTCCAATCCATTCTAATCTAGTTTTGTTTTATTAGTTCCCAGAGGATTGTATCGATTTTACACTATTTTTAGAAAAAAAATATAAATAAAATAATCAACATAATTCGTCATGTCATCGTCAGCCGTGCATAGCACTTTGGATCAATTAAATCCAAATTTTGTAATCATCGCTGAATACTCTTCAGATAATGTATCGAAAATATTAGCTGAATTGTCAACTATTAACTTAAACGTCGTTTCAAGACCCGGGTGTAATAACGACTACGTCTATATTTTCACAAAAGTGAAATTCCAAGAACAAAAAATTGCTTTGTATGATCTGTTGACAAAGGTTTCTTTCATCGATTCAATTATACCTATTTCTGAATTTAAAAAGACCAAGCAATTGGAATTCTCTGTTAAAAAATTAATAAAATCGAAACATTTGATACCAAATGAAAGCGAATTGTACCATTTAGCAAATTTGGTCAATGATAAAAATCAAATTTATTATTTTATGTTCTTTAAAAAATACATTAAATGGTTACGTAATTTATCATTGATAGGTTTATTATTCCGTTTCATCTCATCACCATGGGAATTTAACTTTGGTTACTCAGCTATCCTTTCTTTCTCTTCATTATATTTCGTGGCTTCTTGGATATATCATGATAAATCAAACATTTCAAAAAAAATCAATTTGCAAAACCATTTGACTCTACATGATAATACCGCCACTATGAAACTATCAAAATCTGTTATATTGAAGAAAATTTCATTCATCCCAATTAGCTTCATATTCATTCTGGCTTTGGTCTCTTTCCAATTTTTCTGTTTCTCTTTGGAAATTTTCATCACTCAATTATATTCAGGTGGCTTAAAACCAATTCTAACCTTATTACCAACCATATTAATTTCAGTATTCGTACCTGTACTAACAATGGTCTATAACAATTTCTTTGTTAATCCGTTCGTTAATTGGGAAAATGGTCCAAATCCAAGAAGATCAAAAATGGAAAAAAATCTATGTTTAACTTTCTTCACTAGTTACATGCCATTGTTCTTAACTTTGTTCGTATATCTACCATTCGGTTATTTGTTCAATGACGAAGTGAAAGATACTATCATCGTATTGGCTAGTAAGTTCTTCATTCCTGTGGTTCAAGATGACTTCATCGTTAATATCTCTCGTTACCAAAAACAATTCTATTTTTTCATTGTCACTAATCAATTGGTTTTAACCTCAATGGAAAACTTAGTACCAATTATAATGAAAAAAGTCATTCCTATGATAAAGAAGACTAAACAAAACAAATTATCCCGTTCAGAAGAGAAGAAAATTATCAACTCAGTAGAATCTTCATACACTGAAGATTTTAACTTGTGGAATCAAGTCAGACTATACCAAGCTTCACAATGGGGCGAATTCAATGCTGACGAGAATTTCAAAAAGGTTATTGTCCAATTTGGCTATGTTTCCATGTTTTCAACTATTTGGCCATTGGCTCCAGCTGTTTTGTTCATAATCAATTCCATCATTTACAGAGCAGACTTATGGAGAGCTTTCATTAAATGCAGACCTTCCTCAAATGTTATCTTCGAGTATAGAAATTCCTCAGACGAGACTCAAAACGATTTATTGAACGAAGAACCTTGTCTATGGGATATCGTACTTCCAATTAATTCGATATTTGGTTCAATTATTTGTATGACTTTAACATATATGTACAGATACTGTAACTTACCAGGCGTTGGCTACAAATTATACTCTAGATATAGTGATTATTGGTACAAAGAAAACCCAATGGAACACTCATACCTCTCCATTTTATTGGCTGCTATCATTTTCGAACACATTTCAATATTCTTTTACTACATCTTCGTTAAAATTTTCAAAGCAGAAAGATACAATGGCCAAACTGGATATATACCAAACAGTAAAGCAAAAATTCCAAAGCAAGAACTAGATTTGTCAAATGCTGGTGAAGATACAAAAAATGCTATGAACAAGATTAAGGATAATGAATCTTTAAAGTCTAGAACTGTCGATAACACTATTAATTTTCCAAAAAGTGTCACAACTGGCGCCGAAATTAGTACGTCCAACTCTAGCGTAAGATCAAATACTGTAACTGAAAAATCTCTTCCCGATTCAAAACACTTCAGAGCAGGTCCGGTTATCAATACATTACCAGAGTCGATCGAATCTCTTCATACCGGTAAGAAAAGTGGAACACACACAACTCCTAGTACGACCGCAAGTATACCAGATGTCCTTAAAGTATCTCAAGAAGGATCTAACGTTGCAGGTGCAACAGTGCCGGAACCTATTCCAACTTCAAAGAATTACTTTCAAAGATATGATGAAAATGGAAATTTATTAAAAACATCATGGTCAGCAATCGCTGGTAATGGGTCTACATTAAATAATAAAGAAAACATCAACCCAATTCTACCATCAGAACACAAGTCTTCACTGGTTACTGCACCATCAGGTCTACGAGAAGTTGTAAATGCTTCAAATATAGCTGAACCTAGTGTCCAACAACCAGAAGTTGCCAAACCTCTTGCAGCCGCAGCTGCAGCCGCAGCATTAGCAGCGGACGATTCACACCGTGAACCTGTAACACCTTCAAAAGTATCACGTAATGACTCAAGAAGACATTCTCAAGTGAATACTCATTCACATGAAAATAGGACACCAAAGAGCAATGGTACTTCTGCTACGAAGGAGAGACACTCCAGTTCACATAAGAGAAAATCAACTGTTATTTCTAAGCCAGAAAAACATCTTCGTCATTCGACAAGTAAAGAAGCATCTTTGAATTCATCGAAAAGTGATTCTAAAAAATCGAAGGGCTTCTTAAGAAAACTGACAAAGAAATTGTAAACAAGTAACCCCATTTGATATATAACAAAAAATTATGTGTACTAAATTTTACGGAACGATAATATATAATCGAATAAAATATTAATGATAAATTAATTAGGCAAGAATGCTCCTTCATTTTTCTATAAAGTTGTCTAGTTCGTAACAATATCTACTCTAACTCTTTTCCAAATGTTATGCAAATATATCTCTTCTTGATCACCCATCTTAGTCAATTTCCCATTTTCTAAGTTAGGACTTTCTATTGTCATTTGGATGAAAGTACCTCTTCCACCATTTGGTCTGACAAATCTTCCAGGATTAATCACAACGACATTTTGGATAACTCTAGCAAAATATTGAAGTTCACTCGGGACAATTATAACGTCAGGAGCAAATCCGCCGATAAATTCAGTTAAACCTAGATAAGGAACATCTAGATCTGCTCCTGAAATATGTACGTACCTTTTCTTGCCATTTTCAGTAATTGGTTGTTTCTTAATACCACCAGGAAGAACAGGATAATATCTTCTTTGTTGTAACATATGTTCAGAAACTCTATCAAACCTATTTCTCATCGAGGTATTACCACCTTTTGTTATCTCTTTCATGTCTTTAAATAAATCAACATTGGAACATCCAAAGAATACTTCATTTAGTTGAAAAGTAGAAGGGTTAGTAAAACATTTGAAGTTTTTAGGCAATTGTAGTAATTTCCTATCCAAACTATCTTGTGGATATGCTGCATGTTTTGAAACAGAATCACGAGTTGAAGGAATTAGGATTATTTGGATTTTAGAGTTTATGTTTTTCAATAGAGGAACAAAAACTTTTGTAAATATTTCATCTAGAGTTTTTGGTTGAGATTTTAAATTTGGAAAGTTTGGAATAGCACCTTTGGCTACTAGAGGATTTGTGACATCAACAAACGGTCCAAACATAATTAAAATATGTGGCTTAATTTCGTTATTGATCTTTTCTACAAAAGAGACCAAGTATTCTAAATCAAAACTGTTGTCAGGAAAATATGGTCCACTGGTTATAACTACTTTCATGGATTTGTTATCTAATAACAATTGCGATTCTTGGATATCATCTGAAGTAGAAACAGGTGAATCTGGATATGGAAGTGATATAATTTCTTCCACCATAAAATAATCACCATTGGCGTTTTTTCCTTTAAATGCTACAAGTTGTCCACAGAATAGTGTCAGTTCTGCTACTTTTGTTAAATCCAATCTAACTCTTCTACCAATACCGCCTGATCTTGATGTCTCCAAGGCTAGTGATTCAGTATTCAAGAATCCCTCTGCAGTTGGAGAATCAGGGACAATTCTACCAACGGTGTATATTTCTGACTGAGATTGAATAGTTGGATCACCAAAATCGCTATTTGTTAATTCATAATGTTTTTGAATGATTGTTTTGAACATTTCTATTTGATAATCAAGAACATCAGCGGCGTCTTGCAAATTTTGTCTCATAGTCCTAAATTTGAACTTTTGAGCATCAAAATATGGCGATATCCTCACTTTATCTTCACTTTCAAAATCTAAGCCTTCTGCTACTTCCATATTTTCTGGATTTAAAGAGTCCAAAATCTTACCTGATTCATGACTACTTTTCAATGGTGCTGGTGTTGTTGCTATGACATCTGAACCTAATTCTAGAATACTTGAGTTCATGATATTAGGTGTAGTCGTCTGAGAGCCTTCATCGCGGATATCTATTGTATTTGCTGGACCTGCACTAAATTCAAGTTTTGACGAAGTGTTACTGACGGATCCACCATTGCTATCTTTGACATTTAATTTACGTTTCTTCAATGTAGGTGTTTTTGGTATATTAAAACCGAATAAGGAAGGGCTAGAACCAATTGGCTTTACAATCTTTGGTTTTACACCAGACGAATGTACATTACTTGATGATGCAATCTGCTGGGCTCTTTTTTCTACTTGTTGCTGGAGAAAGTCCTTATATGATTCCAAATTTTTTTGATTTAATTTTGTATGAGTTTCATTCCTGTGAACAGAAAACTGTTCCCACTTGATAAATAAGTCTTCAACCGATAGAGCATGTATTCTCAACAATGATTCCATCGTCTCTAAAATTGAAGAATCATCTACTTCAGGACCGAATTGATCAATAAGTTCTTTAGTGTGGCCCATCTTGATATATTTACCTAACAGGATAAGTTGTTAATAATCAGACTCCTGGACTGTTAACTCTAAATGTATATCAAAATTTAGTAGAATAGAGTTTATAATCTATAAATGCAAATAGTAATGCTATATATTTTGATATACTATGTATTTGAATAATGCAATGTCTACATTTTAAATGATAACATCATTAAATGTAATGTATAATAAGATGTTGAGATTTTTTTTTTATTACGCGTAAAATATATTAATTTTAAGATGGGTAGGTGAAACGCGTAAAATTTAGGAAATAATAATTATAATAATACAAATTATAATAATACAAATCCTAATGCAAAGGAAGAGATATTTTGAGCACTCTAACCTTATATTGATGTAAGTTTTTGGATCAATTGTATAGATATTTCATTAAAGCCGTTGAAAACATTTTTTATCTCTTCTTCATTGGAATTTGATGTTAACATCATATGATAGATAGATGCAGACACAATTGAACTTGCCATTCTCCACTCTGTCTTCTCACTTTGAATAAAGAACAGCATGGTTTGAGCTATTTCAGAATATTGATTTCTTTTCAGCTTAAATAAGCCAGACCTTAGTACTGAGCAAATTGTATTCAATAGGAATGTTTCTTTAATCCCAGGACCTTTACTTTGTTCACTGACTGCAAGGACACCTAATATTTTTGTAACATTGTTCGAGGTAAAATAATGTGACGTAATTAGAATATCTCTAAATTCCTCTAATAACAGATAAAGCTCACTTGAGAATTCCGGAATTTTTCCGATTAAAACGAGTGAGGATTCCCATAAGAAATCAAGTTGAGAAGTGGCAAAAGAAAAAGAATGAAATTCAACTAAACTCTTATGCAACACAAACAAACAGTCCGCGAGTAATAAAGATTTGCAAACAATCACTTCAGGCATTAATTCAGATTCAACTGCTGACTGTATCAACATATTACATAAGCTAATAAGATCAGAAAAACCATTTTCATTTAATAGCCACCCAATCATTTCTTGTTCTCTTTGAAAAGAAATTAGAGCTTCTAATAAACGATCGAAATGTTTCATAGCAAATGAACCACCTTTAATTTTTACTATTGCTCTCTTCATTGAATGAAATTTTACATTAAATAAGCCACGCTCACGAACAAACATATTAGATAACAAATAAAATGTCAAAGATGCTGGGGATATGCTGTCTAAAATAAGGACTGTATTGTCAGCTGCGGGATGTGATTCTTCTATCCTATGTATATTTTCCGATTTTGGTTTGATATTTATATTTCCAAATTCCTTATTTAATGTATTAGTTTCTGAATGGGTAGATTCAATCTCAGTATCGTTCCTTAACTCTTCTTCATCTACATTCATCATAGAATCTGAATTCGTCGAACTTCTCGAAGTATTATTAATTATCTTTGGAGGATCTAAGCTAAACTTAACTGTTGTTTCCTTCTCTTGATTTTGGAAGATATCACTTAAATTGACTCTTTGCTGATCAGCATCCTCGTCATCCAATTGAATATCCTCATCTTCATTTGCTTGAAGTTTTGAAGCAGGCAATTGTTCATAGACACTGACAATTTTTGTCATATTCGTTAATTTCATAGTGTTTGCTCCAATATCTTCGTTATTTTGTTGGTCATCAAATTCTAATTTTGGATCGTGATGAACTACACTGCTATCACTTGCTACTCGTTTTTGATTGAATGGGTTCACCATAGTCATTTCTAGGTATTTATTTTCATGTTCATCGAAATCTGATTTTGTGTGAATTTCACTGTCGATGTCATTATTTAGAATCTGTTCAATGTTTAAACTTCTATCTCTGCTTTCAATTTCATGAAAAATCTTCAGTTTTGTCGAAACTATTGACAGGTTTCTTAGAACAGAAAGGAACATTTCTTTGTTATGGACATAAATCTGAAATAAAGTTTCAAAATATAAGGTTTCGTCAAAATCTCTACCACAAATTTCGGTTAATTTTTGAATGGAATTCTTAGTGATTTGTTTATCCACCTTAATTGTGGCAGAATTCTTGAAAATTTCAAATAGCAAATGGATAGAGTAATTAAAAATCACTTGCCTGTATTTCATATAATAGATTGAACCTTCTGGAATATCTTCAATTTCGTCAGTTCCATTTGAAATCAAATTGTTCATTAAATTTGATATGGTTTCAATCAATTCATTAGGATCAAATTTGCTTAATATGTCACTAATTTCAATGCTATTAATGGCATATAAATCAATTGTATAATTAAGTGGAATTGAGTGATAAAATCTTGAAATTGACAACAATGGTTTGAAATCCTTTGGATTTCTAATCATTAATATTCTCAATTGCTTCATAATTCTATTGAAATCAATATTTTCATCTAGTAGTAATCTATTTTGGAGTAATTGAATTAAAAATTTAACATCCTTCGGAGAATTTATATTATTAAAATTACTGTAAAATCTTTCCAAATTACTTTGACCTATTGATTCGGAGGAGTTATTTTGAATTTCTGTACTAATATCACCACTTGCACTTCCATTATTGGCAGATGTTCCATTATTTTGATTAATTTCCATATATTTCTTCAGTAATGTATGTGAATTATTATTTGTAAGTTCACTTGTCAAATCAAACTGTGTATTCATTGTATCTATACTATCAACGTTAATATCAGCAGAAGAACTGTCAACATTCTGTTCAACATGATTGTTACTTGAAGATCTCGTNAAAGTTGATGGTGCACTACTTTTTCTTGAACCTCCAATGGATTTAGATTTTATATTTTGCCCTATATTTAGATTGCCATTATTTGACACCATACCTTCTGTATCACGTAATGTAAACTCACTAGACGACCTTGTAGTAAATAACTTTGCGAAGGATGAGGTGGCTGAGCATAACTGGGAATTTTCTATTGAAATACTATCGGCCCAACTTGATCTTCTGGAGATTCAACGAAGATGAAATTGATGTTGAAATTGCTGAAAACTAATTTTAAAGAGGGGGGATGGAAATCAAAACTTTTTTAATGAAAAAAAAGAATCGGTAACATTTCCTGCTTACCTGGAAAATTAAAATAAACGGAGGTAACCCAAAATCCTGACGGAGTTGGGCTGGCATCCTTAAAACCATTTCAAGAAAATTCATTTCTACCCTTTCTTTCCCGATGTAATCCACAATACCTAAAATGAAAATTCTGGAAACTTTTCTTCCAGAAAAATATAAGTGTGAAGTGATGCACAACCGGAGAAGTTTGGTTTTTTAAGAGT